CACAGATTGTTTCGAGAGCATAATTAACCATATTTTTGCTTTTACCAAACAAGGTTCTAAAAAAGAGGTCAACAAATGTCAAAACACCCTGTACCGCTAAAAGAGTTCTAAATTAAAAAAATAAAACTTTAACGCACATCTAAGGGCCAAGGCCTTTAATTTCACTTTTCATTTTTTGAATTCGAAAGAACGGTGCAAATCTATGAATGGCCTTCACAAAAAATGGCTTATCGTATAATATATGTACATGGGGTTTGAATTTCTTTAATTTTTAGGGTTGCTGGCCAAACATAAATAACACTATGCAACAGTCAAAATCGGGATGGGATGAAACCAACGGGAAATGTTATATCGGTCAAAAACAAGTTATACGTGTACCAGCGTTTGGCTGGGTCACGTCTAGGAATCGAGATATATATATAACTATCGTATAGGGGAAATTGTCACCTTTGGTGGTCTTTTTTTGACATAACTCGAGAACCACTAGTCCGATTTTGCGCAAACAAATTTTATTTAGAAAAACGTTATATGAACAGATTAAAGGAATTGTAATTTTTAATTTTTTTAAATTTGTTTGAGCAAAATCGGACTAGTGGTTCTCGAGTTATGTCAAAAAAAGACCACCAAAGGTGACAGTTTCCCCTATATGATAGTTATATATATATATCTCGATTCCTAGACGTGACCCAGCGAAACGCCGGGACACGTATAACTTCTTTTTTACCGATATAACTTTCCCGGTAGTTTGAACCCTTCCCGATCACTGACCCCTACCATTTGTCTTACAGTGTAATAAATAAATATGAAATTTGAGCTTGATAAATACATTTTTAAAACTGAACAGCACAAAAACAAATCGATTTAATAGTTTTCCAGATATCTCGAGAACGGGACGAAGAAACAATTTGAAAAAAAAATCATACATACACACATCAAATTTCTCTATGAAAATAAGTATTTTTTAAATATTTTTTCTTGAACATTTTTTCACATATAAATTTAAAAAAATGTTTTTTGAGAATATGGCATCTAAAAAAATGAAATTTTTGTTTTTGTAATTTAATGTTTTTAAAAGTGTATTAATCAAGCTCAAATTTCATATCTATTTATTATTTATGTTTATCCCTCAACCCTAAAAATTTCAAACAAATCAAACACATGAAGTGTGAACTCCGTCCATTTTGGGATGGAACGCCCCATAAATATACATGTACTTAGTTAGATCAATGAGCCTTCTAAAAGGTATTCTGAAACTAAAGCCTTCATAAATCTCTTCCGATTGGCACCCATATCTTATTATTTCATAAAACTTGTGTTATAAGTTAACTAAATTCGACTTTTCAAACAGGTAGCAACCCTCATGAAAAGTGTTTTCTAGCTAAACTCTTCTCAAATTTCATTCGTCTGACATTGTGATATATTTTAATTAAAATTAGGTTGAATTTGTTTTTTTAACATGTGGCAACACCCTAAATAGAGTTTAGTATTTTCAAACCCATTACTATTGATACCCGTATTTTAATAATTCATTTAATTTTTAAAACAATTTAAATTTTTTAACAGGCGGCAACCCTCTCCAAACACCCCAATTATATCCAGCGTTCAAAATAAAGATTTCTTAACACTTTCGTTTGATACCCATATTTTAGTTGCATGTAATTGGTGTAAAAGTTAACTATGTTCGACAGGTCGCCACACTCTTCGAAATTTTTCAAACTACTACCATCTTAAACCCCTTTTATCTGGCACGCATATTGTGATATACATATTTTAATTGCCTAATTCCCTCAATTCAAATTGATTTGATTTTTTAAACAGTTGGAAACACTCCTATAGTTAAGTTAAGGAACAAAGTTAAGAGAGATTGAAACCCATTTTGTAAAACTTGGTTTATTTAATAAATTTGAATTAAATTTTTAAAAGGCGGCAACTCTGTTCGTAAAAGTAAATCCTTATTGCACTTCTAAAGCCCAAACACTTTAGTTTGACATTTTTTAAAATCGAGCGAACGGTGCAGATCTGATGATCTGTACAAAAAATCCCTTGGCATATTAAATGTATATCGACACCTGAACTCGAACTGGTTGCCGAGTTAGGTAGATCTTCCACTCAGATGTCGATAAAGAAATATCGGTAGCACACAGCTCCACTAAAATCGAGCTTGATGCAGCCATAGACTTGTTCACTATTACAAGTATTCTTTGGGCCACATGTCTCGCCTGATTGCTATTTAATTCACGTAGTTATAGGTACGTTGATCCGTCTTGGTCCAGCAAGATCTCCACTGTGGCACATAATGTTCACCGGAACTGTCCGAGGTAACCCCACCCACTGCCTATGTAGATGATGGGGCCTGCCTCATTACACGACCTGTCCGAGAGATTTTTGCAGGAAAGCGCAAACAACACTGAATATGATCTATAGTCGGTGGCTGTCCGAAACGAGATTCTCTAAGTACTTTCTCGAAATTATAACTGTCAACAGTAACGTGGGTGCCAAGGCACGAATGTGCTGACTGTTTGTTTGATGACACGAGATACTTCTTCTTGTCATCATTTTCCACCAGACCAATTCGCTTTGCTTCCTTATAAAACTTGGAAAAGACAGAACAGACTTCGCGGTTTTTGCTACCGATGATGTGGATGGCATCGTCATACGCCAGCAATTGAAAGCTCTTCGAGTAAATTGTTCCTGAGCGGTTCAGCTCTGCAGAAATCCCATTTGGCAACAAACGTCTCGGAGAGGTAGTTCCCAATTACGACGCAGATGTTGGTATTGCTCAACGTCAATTTACGCAGCCGTATTAGTTTCGAAGGGATACCAAATCCAGACATCGCTGCGAACTCGCTGGCAACTCCTTTTAGTGCTGTCAAAAGAGGCTTTGACGTCGACACATAGATTGCATTTTTCAAGATTTGGCGTATTGTGAATACCTGGTATATGGTGGATTTTCCAAGTCTGATAAGGTCCAATCATTTCGATGACGGCCGGCTGCAGTTATTCAAACAATACACTCGACATTATATTCTAACCTATGCTTAGAAGATTGATCCCGCAGTTGTTGGCGTGTATGGCGGGGTCGCTTTTTTTGTGGATTGGGCAGATCACACTTATGTACATTCAGTCGTCGGACATGCGTTCATCTGACCATATTATGCATAAGAGCTGATGCATCAGCTCTTCGCCGCCGCACTTGAATAGCTCAGCAGGCAGGCCGTCAGCTCCAGCAGCTTTGTTGATATGCGTAACGGCGTAACCGCTTTTCGTACCTCGTCGTAGTCAGGCGGTGAGACATTGAACTCCATCATCATCGACTGGGGTATCGGGTTCGTCTTCTCTGCAACTTTAAATGCTGATACCATTCAGTAGCGTGGAAAAATGTTCCCTCCATAATTCAAGTACGTTCTGGACATCGGTCCCTAGGTCACCATTATTCTTCTTACAGGAGTTCGCCCTGGCCTTCGATAAGTCGCCTAACTCTCTGGTAAAAGTTTCGGGCGTTTTTTTCTGTCGGCCAGCTTATAAGCTCTTCCCTATAGAGGTTCCATATAGTTCGCGTTGGGCCCGATCGCAGCGCCATATTTTTTCTCTGCAGCTTCATGATATTCCTCATTTTACTAGTTGTTCTTTCGAGCTCGCTAAAATCCGATAATTTACTTCTTCGGCGGCGGTATGTAATAAGCGGGAAATGTAGTTCCACTGCTCGCATATGCCGGTTTGTTGAAGAGTGCTCTCAGCGAGCAGGTGTGTGAGTCGAGCGGCGAATAAATTGACCGTCTGTTGCGATTGCAGCTTTTCGACGTTGAGCTTTCTTTGCATTGTTGGGCGCACTTTTTTTGCTGCACCCAGATGGATGCATATCTTGGCTGCAACAGGATAATGGTCCGAGTCCATTTTTGGCCCAGGAAGTGCACGTACGTCTAAAACACCGGAAGCGTGCCTTCCGTCTATCACAACATAATCGATGTCGTTTCATTTCTCTTTTTTTGATCTGGAGCCAAGTAGCTTTATGGATTTTATTAAGCACTTCCGAAATCAGTTTGCTCGAAAAAGAGTTAGTTTAAGTGGTTGCTCTAAGGCTTTCTTATATTCTGACGTGTAACGGCTTCAAACCGCGTGGTTATCTCCTCAATATAAGTACTACGTACATATGAATGTATGTATTTGTCATACCTATCCAACTTTTTTAACATCAAACACATTCAGTTTTCTGGTCAATAACCCAATAAATCTGAATATCCTAATTGAGAACTCATAATACATACATATTTATATACATCTTCAACATTCATTAAAAGCACACCTCCCTACACCAACATGACATCAATTGCAAAGAGCATCAAACTCAACACTACAGCTCTAAATTAACACTATTTCAAATGGCAAACACTGCCCTCAATGCATTCCCCGGTTATTCAAGTACGCTCGATACTAATTGAGAGCACCACGGTTAAGTGTGCGCTTACACACTTACAGTAGTATGTATATTTCGTTTTACTTTTATGTTGTTTGCCTTTACTTATTCATTTATTTATTTTTTCAGCCTAAAGTAAGACAAGTCACTCCGGTACTCAAGTGTGGTAATAAAAATCAACTTACTTACAAACTTTACATATGTACATACCCCTTGCATAACGCTTGAATGCATTTGTTACTGCTACGCCATGGTGTCAAGCGACTAACTGTTGCAGCCAATATATTTATATGAATGAATGTTTTTATGTAGGTGTGAATGTTTACTACTTTTCATACAGAAATACATTTTTGCTTTATACATACTACATATATACATGTCACTTTGTCATGACAACCCCATTTAATTATTTTTATTTTTTTTTTCAAAGCAAACACCAAACAACTAACCAACTAAAAAATTCTACCTTTCGACTTTGTATGCATTTCCATTGATTCTCACATCAACTAAATAGCATACAAATGTACTTATATATGTATGTATATGAATAAATATATACAAATGCATATATTCCATTTAATTGCAGTGCGCACAACACACAGGTCTATCAGGTGACACGCTCGGGACATGAGCATTGCGATGTCACAGAAGGTATACTACTGGATATAACACCGCTATTTGTCGATGGTAGAAAGCTGGTAACACTCTATGATAAGGACCTAACCGAGGGAGTTAACTTGCTAATTGGTGAGTAGGTAACTCTTTAGAATTCCATTCGATGCATAGCTAAGCTAAGCTGAGTTGCGTTGAGCTTCTGGCATTGCTGCTATTTGCTGTGTGTTACTGTTTATTACCTGGTACACTACACTTTCTTTCTCGGATTTTGTTGCTACACTTTGTTGTTACTACTTGTTCCTGTTGTTGACATTAGCTAGCACACTTGCATTTTAGCACCGTTAGGGTCGCTGTGCGTAAATTGCTCATACCGGTAAAAACCGGCGTGTTTCCGGTTGACCAAGAGTGCCAACTCCACCCAACACCATAAGGGGCGGGTATTAGTGGAGGTGCTTTGCTTGGTCGAGTGCTGATAAACATGTGGTTGTGTACACGCAAACGTACATAAATAGTTTTATGAACGCATATCTATGCTGATATCGCTGCGTGTATGTGTGCGAATTGCTCTAATGCGGCCTGTATACGCCGCGGCTAATATGCGACTAGCTGAATGCGCTTGTTCGCCATTATACAGTTTTAAAAGCAAAAAAAGCTTTTATGTTGGTTTTATAGTGCACGTGAATTTAATGTGCGTTTGTGCAGCAGACTGCAGGCTATCAGAGATGCTTAGCATATATTAACCAATGAGCAACAGCCTGAGAACTGCAAAAGCTTAAAGACAAGGCGAGCTTATAAAAGGTGGTGTTACTAGAATTCCTAGAGATAGGAACAGAGATCGATATTGAAATTTATTGGCTGAGATTCAGTTGTAGGGTTTGACATTTAACGAAATCTATATTTACCATGTTAACCAAAGGCGGGGTTAGACCAACTTTAGTGAAAGCATCAACTTTCTTTTTTTCGATTTATTTTTCTGCCTTCTGATACCAAAAAATAAAAGACCGGCCTCTGTCGAACCTATTTCCCTATTTTTAATAAATTTTGCCTTAACCGATATTGCTTTTATACCAGGTTTTCTATCAATAAAGGTGTTCGCCAGAAAATTAATGGGTTTTACTTTCTTTGTGGTATTTTTTAAATGGAGAGTTTCCCACAGAAGACTGCTCGAGCAAACCTTTCTTAATGACCCATCTGGGCAAAAGTTCACCGATGCTTCCATCCAAATATTACCTTTGGACTACAAATAACTTGTGAGAAATCTGACTGTTTAAGCAGTGATTCGTATTATCAAAGGCAAAGTAAAAACTGCCAAGCGCACCGCAAGACAAAGATCCCTATTGAGGAAAGAGTCCCATAAGAAATCGCCTAAAACCTCGTGAATTGTGTATTTTTTAAAACCGACACTTCTCTAAAATTGCTAGACATCAGCAGCAGTTAATTTCCGACCACAATCCTACATATCAGTGATAAGACAAAAACTTACGCAGTCCCACTATAAATTGGTTTATGTTTCTGTAGATGTTCTGCCTGAAATTTTTTTTGGAATTTTCCGAATGGCTTTGCTCACTTTCCATATGTGCATATTTACGCAGCAGCTGCACAGCCACGAATTATTTTAGCAATTTTTGCTCATATTTACTGCATAGCTACGAGTATTATGAACGGTAATATATATGTATATAGACAGGCTAAGGGTTGCCCTTAAAATGTCAATATCACTCAATTTTCTTCCTATATTTTTTCTTTTTTTTTAATTCTATTTTTTGCTTTTTTTTACAAATTCAATTTCTTTCAATTTTTGTAGTCTGTTGTTTTTTAATCTAATTTTCTTCTTTCAATTAAATTTATTTTAATTTTTTAATGTTGTTTTAATATTTTAGATTTTATTCATTAAAAATAAAAATATTTTATCATTTTATTTTTTGGAACTCTTTTTATGTTTTATTTTATTATTTTAACTTTCTTTTTCTTTGATTTAATTTTTTTTTAATTTTTAGTGTTTATTATTTTAATAATATAATTATTGTTTGACTTCATTAAATTTTTAGAAACATACATGTGTATTGTATTTTTTTTCATTTTTAATTTAGTTTTCATTGAACTTAAATACTTTACTGTTTAAAAAAGAAAAATATAAACATTTTTTAAATCTCATCAAATTTTTTTAAACTTTTTTTTTTAATTAGATTTTTTCTATTTTAATAAAATTTTTTGATCTTATTATTTTAAATGAAAAAACATTCTTTCATTTAATTAAAAACTTAGTTTTATACTTATTTTTTCCTTTTTATTTTTTTTTTAATTTTCTTTTAAGTTTTAGTTGCTTTGTTTTAAAAGTAAAAAATTTTATATATTTTTAATATAATTTAGTATTTAGGAATTTATTTCTTACTCTTGTTGTCTTTTTATTTAATTGAACTTTGCAATGTAATTTTCTTTCAATATAATAAAAAAAGGTTGTTTCTTAATTTCATTAAATTTTTTTTAATTATTTAATAAATGTTTACATTTTTCAATTTGATGTTTTTTAATTTTATTTGCTTTAAGTGTTTAATTTTTATTGTTTTAAGGAGATAAATATATATTTTGTTATTTAATATAATTTTTAGAAAAAATATTGCTAAAAGCCAAACAGAATAACATAATTTTTAGTTACCACCCTTATGTACATTTATTAAACGCAATAGGCGTGTGTTCTATTTTCATTCAACCCTTCCATACTGCAATATTACAAAGCTGTGGAGAGATGTTAATTAAGCTGTCCGTGCCATTTTTTATATTTTTTTGTATGTACAAGTATGTATAAGTTTATACATTTATAAATAAGCATTATCTGAAATTTTAATTTCAGTTTTGAATTTATTTTATTTTATTCCCTATATTTTTCCAAATTTTTTTTTCAATTTACCAACAATCACTTTGCCATACTAATTTACTCGTACACTCATTCCCCCACATCTATTTAATTGCAACTTACATTTAACATTTACTTTACCTTCCTTTCGTCCTTTTAGTGGTTTCCGAGTTGTGGGGCTCACAGTGTGTTCGTTTGAAGGTCACCGCAAAAACTGACAATTGTGGCGAGAATGCTGAATGCTCCGGCAAGGGTGTATGCTACTCGAATTCCGCCATGGAAGAGTATGAGTGTCAATGCTGCAGTGGTTTTGCTGGTCCCCATTGTGAGGAGATCGACGCTTGTACGCCAAGTCCATGCACAAATAATGGCATCTGCGTTGACCTCTCACAAGGACACGAAGGGAATTCATACCAATGCTTGTGTCCCTATGGTAAGTTTAGCAACAATTTTGCAGTTAAATAAGTACAAAGTTATATGTATGTACATATATGAAAGATACCACAAACCGACGATACTACAAATCTGCAGGTAAAGAGACCAACTGCACCTGAGTGGTGTTTTACCCTGCGTACAGTCGCTAAATATTTGTATATAAGTATGTTTGTTTATACATTAACTGGTTAGCAAGGGAGTTAAATTCTTGCATTGATAATATGTATCTGACCAGAAATTTATTTACAAAAGATGCTTTGAAAATAACACCATCACTTTCCTAATCGAACTTTTAAAAAATAATACTGCGGGGAAAATCTCAAATTTTTTAAAGTTACAAAGTATTGAAAAAACACGCTATACAGATCCGTAAACTACGACCCAAAATTAAGTTCACGTGCCTCGGCGTTTTTTTTTTGTTGTCATTTTAGCGTCGCTACAGTGTTCGATACCCATAAATTTATCGTGTCTTTTGCGTTTATCAATCACAACTACTTACCGATGGAATATGTGTCTCGCAATTTTATTATCACTCTTACGGGATCTGCATCGCTCATACGAATTCAGTCTGCTAATAATTCGGCCTTAAGACTTCTTCTTTCTTATTATTTGGCGCTTTAACTGCCGAAGCGATTTCGGCCGAGTTCTACAAAGCACGTCAGTCCAATTGCAAATGTCAAGTGAAGCCAAGTCCTTCTCCACTTGGTCTTTTGATCGCAGTGGGGGCCTTCCTCTTCCGATATGGCTAAACCAGCGCAGTCGGTGTACTTTCAGCTAGCAGTATCCTGCAGGAATTCCCGTGATAATTTTTAAGATATTTTTAGATACGTCCTTGCAGTCCTTAAAGCATTTTGGTTATATGTTCCTATGAGCGCTTTGGAATATTCTGTATCTATTGGATTATCCCAGTAGCGCTGAGCTTCTTCTTGTGTTTCGCCCAATGAAGGCTCTGAAAATTATGTTTCCATACATTTTTCAGTTTATAAACCTTTCTAAAGCTATTCTCATTTTAGTTGTTGGTGTTTCCGACAGGGTAGGAGTGTGGAACGATTTTCCATCATCCCTTGTCAAATTTGGTTTGTCATTTTTCGTTCGTTTCGACGGAAAATCGTTCCACATTACATCTTTCTAAAGCTACTTTATTTTTTATGAATAAGGCAATACAACTACAGATCTAGCTCTTGAATTTGTTTAAACTATCAATAAGTCTTAGACAAAGTACTGTAACAAAATATGTTGATAGTCAGTTTTTATTTTAAAACACACTTGAATTAGTAAAAATTACATATTTAAGTAAAGTACAGTATTCCGATTATCGCCACTGCTAGCCACCGCTGTTAAAAAAAAATAAAGCGAACAATTCCATAGCCAAAGAGTTCTAGATTAATAAAAATTTGCGGATATTTTGCGCTTTTTGTAATTTATAGTTAAATTTTCAAGAGCATGGGTGTTCGTCTATGACATGTATGATACACGGCGTATGAGTAACCTTTCTTAATGGTCATATCCACGGTTGCCACTTATGAATTTTTTTTTTTTTTACCAAAATGTGTACCCAAATGCAAAAAATTTACCAAAATAGGTTTAAGCTATAGATATAATTATTCAAATATTTTAAAAATACACATTGTTCATACATATATGCAGTTGTCGTAGTATTACCCTGTCGGAAACACCAACAACGAAAATGGGTTACCCTTTAGAAATTATTACCTTGTAGGGCTACTGGAAGGATACTTTCGCTAATATTTTGTCTGCGAGTTTAACGAGGGATCCTCACATATTGGTTTTCAAACTATCAAGAACCCTTGAAGGTCCGGCTTTCTAGGCCCACCAAGTTGTTGAGACACAAATCGCTTCAGCAAGCCTCATTGTCAATTAGTATAGTATGTGATGATTACAGTGCTTTCGTAGGGCAGGTGCGAATGGCTCCTAAATGGCTACGCAGACAGATCGGTGCTTAACTGTTGGCCTCCTGGACGATGCTTAGTACGTATCAATCGGTTTTGTCACTGTATTGAATGCCCAAAACGTCAGTGCCTCTGACAGCCTAGTTGTTAACAGCTATGAGATAAGACTTTAAGTTGAGCCCTGGATGCTTCGCCTCTTGCGATAGAGATTGATTTCTCAGTCAGGTGAAAGGCTCCCTACAATCTAGAGGCAACGTTGCCTTCATTGTAGCCCACCACGAAGATGAGTAGCTTATACGTAAAATCCTTTACTTTTCCAGGATCGCATGCCTAACGTCTCTTTGTTCTGATATAGTTCTAGATTCAACATGCTTATGTTCCATGCAGTTATTACATTAGGAATATCTTCATGGTCTGTCATGGCCTTGGATTTTGCTTGAATGTCAAGGAACCCGTAATGGGATACCTGCTTATACAGCAATTTCTTTTCGATTACCTGAGTTAGACAATGTGTTGCCGTAATAGCAGATTTCCCTGATTGATATGGTCATTGGGCTTCACACAAAGGCTTGCACTTTAAATAGGTATATGATGTAAGTAATAATTTTCTTATTTTCTCAGATTAAAAAATGTACCAATTCTGAAAGTTACGTACCTGTATACCAAACTGGAAAAAATATACGGATTCTGAAATTTACATACCTGTGTACCAAACTGGAAAAAATGTACCAACAGGGTACATTTCGGCCAAAACGGCAACCGTGATCATATCTATGTAGACATATTATGAAGGAGAATCTTGAAAACTACAGAATGGATTTGGACGAGATTTTCTCTAATATATTCTGTATCGACAGGAGAGTGACCTTTGGTATTTAGAATTTCTATAGGGTTGCCACCTGTCTAAAAAATTATAAGATCCGCACCGTACATTGGATTACAAAAAATTAACGGATTGGCCTCTTGAAAAGCTTTAATGTTTTATTTTTTTTTGTGCAGTAGGGTTTCCAACGGTTAAGAAAATTACTATATTTAATCTTAATGTCTAAAAAATTATAAGATCCTTTCGTTAAATTACCAAACGTGAGATGTCAACTGAAAGGCCTTAGCCTCTAGAGGTTCAGTAATGTATTATTTGTTTAAGTAGGGTTGCCACATTTTTTAAAAATTATAAGATCTTCACAACTCGATGGACTTAAAATGATGTACCAAGTGAAAGGATGTGGTTTTCTGATGTGCAATAAGCTTTTAATTTTTTTTTCAGATTTGTAAAGTTCAAAGTTGAGCACTTTATGATTACGATTACGTTCTGATTACTTAGGATTAAGATTACTGTAATTGTAATCCCGAAAAATTTCAACATTACGATTACTGTAAATGTAATTATAACACTCTTGATTGCGAATAGTTTAACTGTAATCCTTAAAATTTAACGATTACGACTACTGTAATCGGACTTTTTACGATAACGTAATTGTATTCATGAAAATTAGGATTACGATTACAATAGTCATAATCGTCAAATTTTTAGGATTACAATTAACGTATTTGCAATAATCGAGAAATTAGTTTTGCTTAGAGAAAATATTAATTTTATACACCAAGCTGGTTCTAAGTTATAAATTCGCGTACTTTATGGAATTGTGGTACTGTTCTACACAGACTCGTGGTCGCAGTACATTCAATAAAGCTTGATTTTTGTTTATATTTATAGATTTAACTCAATTTTACTTACCTTTCGGTGAAAGGTCCGCAAATTTACTTAACTACTAAACCTCTACAGAATCTCAGTAAATCGAAATCATTACGATTACATTAATTGTAATCATAATATTTATAAGATTACAATTAAAGTGTTCGTAATCTAAAAATTTTTAGGATTACAATTACAGTGTTCGTAATCATGTATTTTTGATGTTAGTGCTAAAATTTTTAAGATTACAATTTTTATAATCGTAATGATTACAATTACAGTAATCGTAATCCTATATAATTTTAAAACAAATAAAAATTGGACTCTTTTACTCCTGCAACTTGCAGTATGCAGCGCTTAGAAATTGGAAGGCTAATAAATTTTTGACTTTTTTAGTATTTTTAAAATCCACTTATCAATTTTAGTCACATGATGAATTTTTTAAAACAATTTAACATAAAACGTACCACTTATAAATTTTCAATTAACCCTTTCCCTGCATTTGTACAATATATTGTACATTTCATTTTTTGTATCATTGGAAGCGTGCTACTAAAAGTCTCATTAATATTTTTGAAAACAAATTAAACTTTATGAAGTTTTGAAATGTCCCGAATAGTTTACGTAAATTTCAAAATCGAGGCGTTTCAAAAATATTTTTAGCATTTAATTTAAAAATAGACCATTTTATAAAATTTCAGTGACACGCAAGTTGTGGTAATTTACTGTACAAAGAATACATGAAAGTCAAGTAAAATCGCTAATAAAAGCACACAGTATGGAAATATAAAAAGCGTTTCATCATATAAAAATGCTAAAATTAAACCATCATGATTTAAAATATTTTTTCCGAGTGGTCAAAAAAATTTACAATATATTGTACATTTACACTGAAAGGCTGTAAGCGTCTTGTACAATATATTGTACAAACGTACGCAAAGATGGCAGTTGAACAGGCAATTATGGTGGTTTTTGCCGTGCTTTTTGAAGAGCTTGTGCGCTGTTGTTGCAGTAAAGGGTAGGTTTTTGATTTCTTGATCTACTGAAGGCAGAAAAACCGGGAAGGTTTATTAAAACTGGTTATTTGTATTTTATATTGTAATTGTATCTGAAATTTTTCAAAATTTCTTCATATAATTCTCTTCTCATGGAGAAAATTTAAAATTTGTTAATGCAAATCTTAACTAAAGATACTTAAAAAGATATAAAATATTCATTCCAACATATCTGCAGTAAAATCAATTATTTTGTATATAAATAAGTTCATTTTCAATGAAATAAATTTTTATTCCGTCAAACTTAGTGAAATATTTATTGAGTTTTCTTGAGTGCTTTACTCCTATGCGGACTTTAGTACAATATATTGCACAAATTCGAGGTAGCCCTAATAGCTAC